TGAAATTATGAAGAACTGTGTTATAATGCAAAGCTTACAGTTTGTCTTGCAAAAATATTCACACCTCTGGTTCATTTTTTTTTGTCACTTTATAGCCAAAACACAAACGTGTTTAATGTGGCTTATAAGACAGAAACCGACACAAACGGTGCTTGATTGTAAAAAGGAACTGCAATATGAGTCAAATTCAGAGTATGCAGAATGCAGGTATTTTCTCTACCAACTTTAGGCTTCTAGAAACTTTGTCCAGACTTATTTGCAAAACAACTCAATGTCAGTACAACTGGATGGAGAAAATATGCAAACATCAATCTATCTACTGGAAGGTGAACCCTTTCAAAAGTCTCGTGTTTTGCAGCCGTCAGCCAGTTTTCTTCCCGGATAGCCGTGTATTTAGCTTCAGCCACCTTCCAAATAACTCCAACCAGCTTTCCTGTCCCTGCTAAAGAAAACCCCACAGCATGCTACTCCCTCCACCGTGTATCACAGTGGGGATGTGGTGTTCAGAATGTTATGGTGTTGATCTTTCACCAGAATCTCTCACATAAACTTCAGCTCATAACTCCTCCAGATTTACAGTAGGCCTATGAATAACTTGTATATGGATAATTTTTATTCCTTAAATAACTTCTGAAGGCAGTTGATCAACACAAACTGGTTTTTATTTATGCATATGAAAGTAATGTGACAAAATGTGATGAAACTCAATGGGTGTGAATTCTTCTCCAAGTTACTGTATGTCTTTGAGAATTTAAAGATCACTTGTAAACTAATTATTTTATTTCAGACTTATTCCATGCTGAAGCTCATCTATTCTCATATCACCATCTGTATACACTTTGCTACGTAGATATAACTTTTGAATTGTATGAACCTGATTTTGAGAGAAGCATAAAAAAGTTGCAAGAGCAACCCCTGCTCCTTCACGAGTCAAACAAATCAACAGTTCTGCTACTCCTTTAAGAAGCTTTAACAAGATTTGATTGCCAGCCAGTGTTTGAGATCCACACAGCTTTGGACTTTAAATACCTGTCTTATACAGGAGCTTTCTCATATCCATGTGAAAACGGCCTACGCTTGAAAAGATCCAAACTATTGATTCATTGATTGTGTGACTGTTGGGGGCAAAGTTTTCCACTTCCCTCCCTGACCAACTTTGTGTAAATCAATACGTTTCTTTGTAAACTAGCCGACCTGGTCAGGCGCCTGGGGTCACAGTGCAATGTCAGCACACCTCCTGTTCCACGAGGTAAAAAGCGAGCAGTGGCTCTTAGCGTCCTGTTACGCAACGTCATCTCCTCTAATCAAAGAGGCATCAATCAGGGGCATTTAATCCCATCAGCACAGCTTTGTGTCTACTTGGAAACTCCTTGTTTGCTGCCTGAGGTGAAGTGAAGAGTTGTTATAATTAGTCAAACCCAAGAGCTTTGATGATTCCGCTATGAATTTACAGTGCTGACTTTGGTGCGAACATTTTATAAGAATGCTCCAGTTCCGTCTAAAAGGGATAAAAGTCTTCCCTGCTTTTTCTTTGAATGTTTTGAGAGATTGGAAAAAGAAAGCACTGTATGCTACTTTGTACTTATCCTAAGAGTTGTCATTACGACGCTAGAGTTCTGTCTTTGAATGTATAATATGACATCAAATGTATGTACAAGTCATGAAATGTAATATCTGTAAGCGAATGTAGGAAGGAGGTTTAAAAAAATAAAGAGTAACTCATTTCTCATGATGAAAAATGGCTCTGGCACAAAGGTGAAGCGTTATCTGGAGTCGTGCAGGCACCAACTCGAGCGTTCTCCCTCCCCCTCTGGGTTTAGCAGGGGCTGGGATGGCGCTCCTTCTTAGTCATATATCGTGCAGGATCTTAAAGTCTCCAAAGGAGGATGAGCCTATGGGGGGGAAAGAGGATCAGTGGATTGATTTTGATCCCTGTCTGATTCACTGCTGCTGCTGCTTGGGTCTGTTTTCAGCATATTCTGCATGCAGGAAGCTCAAAATTTTGTGCTGCTGCTTTGTCATCTTTTAACAAGGTTTATGAACTGCAAAATATTTTGCCTTTAAAATGAAGGATGGCTCTTAGACATAATCTCACAAGATGGAAGAAGCTTAAAAGGTTTCATTTTACAGGATCTTCTTCTGACTGTTTAATCAACATGACAGTTTGCTCCCCAATTTAGGCAGGAGTGAGGTTTCCTTTTACTGACTTCAGTCTCCATTTACATTACTCTATCAAAAGAACAACATTTTTCTCTGCTTGAATTAGAATGTAGGACCTAGACATCGAAATGAAACACAGTTTGATCGTTTTGAGCAAAAATACCACAAATTGCACTGTATTAAAGTATTTCCAAAACAATTAAGCCAAAGTATTGTTGTTGCATGCTGGCAATAGTTTTAACCGGCTTTTTATCATCATTTTAAATACTTTGCCTTTTGAATGTGTCAAGGCTTTTAGCTGACACTTATATCCACTAACATAAGCAGAGAAATACGTATAATGAGAGTTAAAATGCCAATGTTAAATCAGACAACACTCTCATTCCTTTTGCTCAGACACAAAAGGAAAAAACATGCAACAGTTTAAGCTTGTTAGTGGTGCTAAACATGCAGAAGAATATCAGCTGATGTTTAGATCATAAAGGCAGAAAATACAGTAATGGAAACAATTTTCATGATTTTTTTTCTACTGTCAATCAGCTGACATTTCTTTGTCAGTTCATTTTATGATTTTTGTGAGAGTTTTACAGACAGCACCAGTACATACCCAGTATTTCATTCATATGTAGTCGTACTTTTCCGTTTTAGTGGGCTTGACGCAAATGGGTGTTTTAAAATTCATTTTTATGTTTATGATTTATTAAAGTTTCGTAACCTCAAGATATCTAAATATTCTGGCTCTAAAATAAGTTTATATGCACAATTTAAAAAGAATGATGGAACAAGTTCCTTTAATTTTTACTCCTTTACTGGTGTTTTTTTCTCAGTATAAACGTAGCCTTCTGGCACTGTATCATACTTTAAACCAATATGAGTCCCTGTTTGAAAAGCAAAGCAGAAAGGGAAAAGATAGGCAGTATCAAAGAGGTAAAGTAATTGTATTTATTTAAGATACGGCACATAATCTTCCAACAGCCCCATGCAGTTTCCCTTTGTGTGAGCCGACCACTTCAATATGTCCTTGGACTGAGGGATGTTTGAAGCTAATCCACAGCCGACTTGTTGACTGAGGTAAATAGAAAGCTTAACTTTTTCTGGGATTTTCTATGTGCTTATTTCTCTCATGTTTATAGTTCTTTACAAAATGCTCTGTTCTTAAGCATTTTTTTCCCCTGGTGAACAGTTAAAAGAGAACTAGCTTTCAATCATTTTCTCATTTCAGGTCATTAAGAAAAACTCTGCCTTTGGTTATCATAGTCCTAAAGAAGACATACCTTTTTAGGACAAATCTACAAAATATAAAATTGCATCTTCCTGTGTCTTCCTGTCACTGCATGTTGGCATTTTGGATCATTTCGCTCAGCTTGTTTCGCTACATTTAGTGCAAGACTTTCGATCTCCCCAAATCCAAACCACTGTTTGTTTTTTTCAGAAACTCTACAGAGCAGATTAACAAAGATAAATAAATAGAAACATAAATACACATGACTTTCTTGCAAAATCACAAATGAATTTAATTTTTTTCCTTTATGTTTGCAAACATCTGACAGTAAATTTTGAGGGAGCAGAATTTATTTAGTTTTTGTCATTATTTTACGAAGTTCCTGCTGCACAGAAACAAAATGTGTACATCCTCTTAAAGTTCTTTTGAAGTCAAACAAGTTTTGGTTTTCCTTTTTAGCAATCCCTTGTGTTGTTCTTTTAGAAATTTTTCTTGGTTTTTAAAAATCTCTTGATATTCGTTTAAGTGTCTTCTCTTACATACGGAGGAAACAGCTACATAAAAACCTGTGCCATTATCATATTCCTGTTCCCATGTGTTATGCATGTCAAGTATTTTAAGCAGCTAATAAGCTGCTTAAATGAGCCCATCATTTCTCATTTCAAGAATCCATTTATAACTGCAGATACAAGTGAATATCTTCAAATCCGAGTGTCACTACAATACATTCAGATTTTAGCAACACATTCTCTTAACAGCATAGGTACATCACACAGTGAGCTGGCAGTGGAGTAATATCTGTATAATCCCATTTTTAATAGATGAAGATCTCAACAGGAAGTCCATTAAAAGTTTGGCCAATAAAATACTTCATAACACACCTGAAAATAGCTGTCAATTTGTTTTTAATCATCTGGCAGCGGGGCCTCATTTTAAAGTCCAATTTATAATTTTTATGAACAAGAGGGCATCCAGGTAGTAACAGCTAGAGGAAAGTCATTTAAGGTCACGTATCAAACATGTGCTGCTCCACTGGAAAGGTCAGTCTAAAACAAGGCCTTTTATACCACCTTAAGACCACAGACTAAAGTCTGATTATAGTCTTAATCCATTCAAGGTTTTTAATTTCAATAACATTTTAATTAAATGAGTTACATTATTATTTATTTAGATATTTAATTTCCCTTTGGGAATTGATAAAGTGTTTTTGAATTGAGTTTGTTTTTTTCGGTTTCACATCTGTATTTAGCATGATGAGATCAGGCAAAACTGATGTTAGTGCTAAATTGTAGGCGCTAAATTGAAAACGACTAAAATTTCCTGGGTTTTATCACCAGCTTCAGAAGACTAAATATTTCATCATCTACATACATACATACATACATGCATTTTAAAATAAAATGAATATTGAAAAATATGACTGAAAGCCATCAAAAATAAAGGGGAGTGAATACTTTTACAAAACAGCTACATTAATAATGCCTCTAATGCTATACAGCCATCACTTCCTATGAGCCACACAGCCTCAAACCACTTCCAATTATTCTCATCATGATGGTGAGGAGAGTGAAGCACAAAGGAAGCCGAGATATGTAAACAGAAAACTGACACGGAGAAGCAGGGTAAACATTATGTTTATTTCATGCACGCAAGACCCAAATAGAACATACTTAATATCAGTGGGATACAAAAGGAAGTGTAGTCACAGCAGGGTTGCCGCTGATACCAGCAGATTCAAAGAAACATGTCTTCAAAGTAGTCATCAAACTCTTCCTCCCTAAACAGATGAAACAACCAAAACACAGATATGTCAATCCCTGTCATGCTCAGTGCTGACGTAAAACAGTCGAATAGGGGGGCTGTGATTAACTCTGGCAGAGCATCAGTACTCTACATGAAGTGAGATGATTGTTGGCTCCCAACAATGATTCAGAGCACAAACGGTGAGTGACGGGGAGCAGGAAACGGTAGAAAGGTTGACATTCGAAAACTTTTCAAAAAGGGCTCTTGAAGGGTAAAGGTTTCGCCTCCTACCTGTCCTGATTGCTTAAAAAAAGTGCGGTGACAAACATCTATATGAGCTACATGCTGTGTTATCCCCAAAACACACATTTGAGAACTTAGAGAGGCAGATAATATATGAAGATTAGTCCGTTAACCTCACCTTGATTTTTCCTCCACAGCAGGGGCGGGGCCTCGCCAGTGGTCAGCTTCTGATTGGCTGTCTGGTTCATTCCCAGCTTCACTGTCTGTTAGGAGAGTTTAATAGAAAACAAGATCAAAAGTGAACAGTGTTCTTTTACAGAGATGTAAAAGAAAGAAAGATTGAAGGAAGGAATGAAGAAAAGAAAAGAGGAAGGAAGTAAAGAAAGAAGAAAGGAAGGAATGTAGGAAGGAAAGTGAAGGCAAAGGACAGGAGGAAACATGGAAAAAAGAAAGAAAAGAGGTAGGATAAAAAATGAAAGGAGGTAGAAAACTAGAGAAGAAAAGGTGAAAGGTCACAAAGTAAAAAATGAAGAACACAGAACCAGAAAAAAAGATTGCTCGGAATATAAGATGGTCATTTTCTATGTGAGAAGATTCTTTAAGCAATCTTCCAGGAAGGGTGTTTAATAAATAAAAAGTTTGTTCTTGAGTGTTGGGGTTTCGACTTATGAGTTGAAACAGGTTAATTATTGATGTGTGTTTCCTATTCAGCCTCTTCTTTAGCTCCTTAATTGCATCCTTGAACAACTTACTTTCTCTGGTGCTCATTTCTAAAGACCACCGGTTTCAAATACAAACAGGTAGCATGTGTGTGTTTATGGTTCTCATAGCATGCTGAGCTAAATTATATAACAAGGAAGTTTGCTCCTTGTGTACATTTTCACCTTCCTGCCCTGTGATCCGTCAAGGAACAAAACAAAACAAAGGCACACGGGGGCAGAGGCGCACCTTATGCCACGCTGTTCACAGCGAACGACTAAATAAAAGTGGAGATAAAAAAACATTTGAAAAAATAAATAAAAGCGAAAAGAAGACAGACCCTCTGACAGCCGATTAGCATTAACAGCAGGGTTAACCTATGTGCCCGAAGGAGGAGCTGTCAGCATGTTTTCAGTCAAAACATTGGAAGTAAAGCAATCTAACTGTCCAAGGAAGGGGATGAAAATTGGATTTATGTTTTTTTCAGTGTGAATCTGATGTGTGGGATTTGGAGTTGTGTGCACCACCTTTATCAGAGTTTTGCGCCTCTGACTCCGAACTGCTGGAGGAGGTAGAGCGGTCTGTGGAAAATGCCAAATAGAGAAGTAAACTTTCAATAAAACAAAAATCAAATCGAATGTAAGCAAAGCTGTTTGTGAATCGTAAATTCATCAAACAGCAGCTAAATTGTGGAGAAGCAGTACTTTTCTGCTTCTTGTGTCTGTGTTTTTTAGAAAGAGACGAGGATTTCCTCCTCTTCTTTTTCTTCTTCTTTGTTGGTTCTTCGTTCTCCTCGGAGATCTTTCTTTTTCTCTTCACTTTCACCTCCTTTCTCCTGAAAAGAAGCAGAAATTGACCAAAATAGAACATGGTGAACTATACCCTTGCACAAAAAGCAACAGAGAATGAATCAAAGCAAAAGGATATTGGTTTTTAATTACAGCATTTTTGATAGTCATCATAACATTGCTGGTAATTTCAGACCGCAGTTATAAGCTGAGGCTCGATTCAGAAGCCCCAGAGCACTGCATCACTGCTTGTGCTCGCTGTCTATGGTGGTCTGCCCTACTTTGAGCAGACAAGTGCACACACTCCACAGTCTCAGAAATATGTCTTAGAGAGCAAAATAACCTAGATTTTTTTAAAAATATATTAAAGATGAAATGTAAGGGGGCTTACTTGTGATGGAAGTTGAGTTTGAACGAGCATTCGGGACAGAGTCCTAAAAAAAGAAACAATGTCAGTACTGCTGACCTCTTTGTAGTTATAATGCAAATTAAGTCGAAGGATGATGTCTGGCATTTCGAGCTGGAATTTATTTACAGATAATTGTCTTTGTTTTTTTATCAGAAGTGAATTTCTCTCCTCCCTAAGCCTCCTGTTATATTTAAAGTGGTCTGAGTTATTATAATTAATATTTATACTTCAGGACTGGCGACCGCTCGCATGTTGACAGCTGGAGATAAGCACCAGCACCCCTCATGAAAGAAAACGGACGGACGGATTTAGACTTGATCAACATCTGTTGAACTTTGAAGGTTTTTTGAATCATGGCTGCTATTGGTCTTATTTTTGATGAAATATCTGATTATTTTCAAGGACTGGCTTTGGTTATTTATTAATCCACTTAAGTCAACATGAATCATTCTGGTATGAAACTTTAACTTGTGGAATAAACTGCAGTTATATTGATTAAAAATTAGCATTCAGTTCAGTACCTAGTAAATTTATGCATGACCCTGGAAATGTTCAAGGTTCTGTCACACCACATCTGCAAACTTTGATGTATTTCATTGAGATTTTATGTGACAGAAAAGGACAAAGTATTGTAAAACTGTGAAGCAGAAGAAAAATGATAACTGGTTTTCAAAATGTTTTGCACTAAAAATTCTGAGAAGTGTGCATTTGTATTCAGTCCCCACAAATGAATACTTTCAGAAGATGGTTTTAGCTTCAATTCAATTTTGGCTGAAATTTGCCTCCATTTGCCTTCAACTTCTACGGCCTTAAGGTTTTTGCCCAATGTTCTTTACAAAAATTTCATCTTTTTGCAGCAGTTTTTAGGTCTTACCACAGATTCTCAACTGGGTTCAGGTCTGAACTTTGATTAGGTCCTTCTTACTCTTTGAAATGTTCTGATTTTTTTAGATGATGGCTTGAACACACTTTGTTTTATAACCTAATTTAACCATAGTGTTGTAGTCAAAGACAACCTAACCCAAGACCAGCCTGGACCACGACTTTGAGAGAGGTAAGATTCAGACCATTTTCACAACCATTGATATCATATTCATATGTTAGTGCTGAAAAAAAATTGCCTGCGTCAACTCATTAGCAAGTGAACCTATAACTGATGTACCGTCATAGCATTTTAATAAAACTTACAAGGAAACCCTGAACTACAAACTACTTTTTCTCCAACAAATAATGCAAGCTGATAACAAGTTCAAGAGACAAACAAGACAAGTCTGAAAAGCTAAATGTTATCTGACTTAGTGTTAGCTGCAGGCAGAGTGAGTGGAGGTGACAGGTGAAGGTGGAAGACTTAACACACTTAGCAGTCTTTTTTTCTGTGTGTTGTACAGAACTGGAAAATGTTTCTCCCTTTTGTTTCCCTCTTTCTAGACACGTGTACAAAGGTGGCAGCATTGACACTTTCAAAGTGAAAAACATTGATTGCTATTGAATGCAGCTCAGGGTTGCACTTCCAGTCACATGTGTACTATGAATTAGGTGACTTCTGCAGGCAACTGCTTACAACTTGTACTATTCAAGATTATCAGAGTCAAGGTGGGTGAATAAAAATGGACATCAATTTTGTCTGTAACAATATTTGTGTTGGTTTATCACATAAGGTCTCAATAAAATACAATGAAGTTTGTGGTTGTAACTTGACAGCATTTGAAAAAAGGCCAACCGGTATAAATACCTTTGACCCCAAGAATCGGTATAGTGATCTGCTTACAGGTCAAATCTCTCTTAAGTCCGGTTCCTATTAAGTACTTTTTACTTAAAACAACATTTCAGATACTGTTCATCTTAGGTTTTTTTTGTTCTAACTTGATACTTCTTTTCTCCTTCACCTTTTGAGTTTTGTCATTTACCATCTAGCACTACACAATATCATAATCAGTTGTACTCATTAAATCTGTGCACATAAACAAGGAATTTGAGTCCAGGATGAATGAGGTCTGCACAGATGTTAGCGTCCCTTTCCTTGACCCTCGACCTGTTCTCTGTGAATCCATCATCATCTCCACTGTAACATATGCTAACATGAAAATAATATATTCTAACATGAATGGGTATAAGGACTTGACAGAATAAACAGAACAAAAAGCAGCCAAAATCCAAGGTAAAACTTTAAAAAGCCTTCAAAGGAGTGGAATGATCAAAGCACCTTTAAAGGTTACTGTGGATTCTGGCTGATTAGAAGGAAAGCATAAAGTATATAAGAGGTTTAAAACTTTTGAACATTACTGTCACTGTGGACATTTTGCTCAAGAAAGCCATTTAGCTGCTTTGCTCCAATCATTCTGCTTTTCTGACGTCTTCTCGGTGACGCATTATCCTTTTTTTCTAAACAGTCACAAATTGGACTCGTGTAGCAAAAACTAGTTTTGTATTTTACATTTGGCAGTGACCTGCCACTTCAGCTTGTTAAAAGAGCCTGTCATTCTCAGCTTGATTGACTTCGCGGACCCACAAATTACAGTAATTTGAACGCGATTCTCTGCAGTGTGACACCTGGAAGAGTGTTATTATGATAGACATGCATATTATCAGCCATGGATTTGGGTTAACACATACCCAATTACGTATTTAAAACAGATTTTCAAACTCACTGAGTTTGACCAAAGCGTTCCTCTTCTCCCCGTGTTCCACGTAGGCAAAATTCACCTCCCAGCTTTTCAGGCCTTCCTCTTTTCCACAGTGTTTATTCCCACACTGGAACTGACCTGAAAGATCAAAGTACATACAGCACTTTGTAAAAGTTTACAGGCACATTTTTTCCCCCTACTTATGCTCTGACTTTTTATTTCGATATGCACAAAGTGAGACATAAAAATCAATTGAGTTAGAGGCCTAACAGCGAAAACATTAGAAATAAATAAGCAAAACCTCACAGAGGAAAGATATAAAAGTTTTATTTGAGAAGTGGGAATTTCACAAAACCTCCAGAAGTGTCAACCATTCTTTCACCCCTCTTCACCTATCTCTGCACTCCTTCCACCTTATCAACAAAGCGCCTTCTCATCTCCCTTATTTCATCTCTTTTCATGGCCCAAGGCCACCCTCAAGCCACTGCACAGCCCGCCTATTATCCCTAGAGAAGCTTAAGGTGCACTGATCTGGTCTCCGGGGTTCCTCCAGATTGTACCAGAAGGACCGAGTGCGTCATAGCACTCTGCTCTTGGCTCGGGGACAAGAAGGGATCCACTGTGGGAGAAGCGATGTTCGCCTTCACCAGCAGCAGCTCAAGATGCTTTCAACAATCGGCTGAGGTGACGCTGGCTACTGCCACTTTGGGCCGCTGTGGCAAAGAGACAGACTCACGTGTGAGATTAAGAAGTAGTGACGACAGCTAAAAAAAAACAGACAACAACAAGCAAACAAAAAAACGCCGGTTGTCTGGCTCTGGTCCGAGGTTGTAACAACAATTACAGGATTTGCCGTCAGAGGAGAAAACACAAACGCTACACTTGGCACATGTCTACTCTAAACCGATCTGTGTATTGGTGTATAAATGTTTGTGAGTCTAAATGTGGGAATGTGACTTTGAGTGGTCAGAATGACTGGAAAAGCATTATGAAAGTTAAGTCCATTCACCATAATGTCACACAAAAAGCCAATAAGAGCCTATTTTTGTTTGCACACTGGATAAAATTGCATAAAAGATCATTATTTTGTCCAATATCTGGGTTTTTTTGACCAGTCTGAGTGCCTCCACTCGTTCTACTGAATTTCACATGGAGATGGAGACTGTGCTGGTGTTTGCAGTGCTTAATGCTCTGTGTTTTGGGCTCCAGTTGCCTTGGAGCTGCACGCATAGCAGCTGAAATTAATGATGTTCAAGTAAAGTTTATGAATCAGGCAAACAACTTTTTCTGTAAGATTTGTCCTCACATCATTACCCAGAGCCACACTTTTTTCCACCCTGAGATAAACTGTATTGTTAAACTTTTTACCAGAACCTTCCTTATGACAAATAACTCCCTAAAGCAATTTAAAAAGAACTTTCTGGTTTTGCATCATCAATTCAAATTAAAGCACTCATCCCATCACACTGTCAAATTAGTGTCAATAACAACTTCCAGGACAGCATACATTAGTATGCTGTCCTGCCCATTAACTCTAACATTTGTAATAAACTGGGAATTTGTCCATGGTGTTTTCAAGTCTTTATTATACATATAAAACCCTGATAAATATCTAATGTATGTACATAAACAGTGGTGTTTATAGCTAAAGAAAAGATCACAAAAGCATTTCTTGTGCGACAAACTGCCCTTGAATAGGTTCCAACTCCCTGCAGCATGAGAGAACCAGCTCAGTGTTGAATATAAAAGAATATCATATATTCAAAGGGCACACCAGTGCAAGTTTGACCCCCACCCAAGGTACACACAACCTCAACTCTGGCAGAGTAAAATTCATATTAAATCTGTGTCCAGGCAATTTCTTTTACAGCATAAATGCCAAAAACTAAAATATAATCAAGGCCAGAATTGTTCGCTTAGTTCTGTCAGCCTCCAGTCCCCGGGCACTACAATGTCTTGTGTGAAAAATAAAATGAACCAATTTAGTCGCTTTTATGTGTTTTGAGGGTTTCTTTTTAAACGGCAGAAAGGGGCATTTCTGCTTTAACATCTTTTTAAATGCCCACTGAAATAATATAAAGATGAGGTAAACGATGTCTTTTGTGGTTTGTTGACGTGCCTTTACTATTCCCACACTTAAGGTCAGTTAAGCCTCACATGGGTCTACGAAAAAAAAAAAAACTGAAACTGACAACAGGTTGGATAAGTAAAAGCCCGTTAAGAGGGGAAACTCCTTCCCTCTTACGTCAATCGCTAATTATGCCACCAGCCAGAGGCTTGAGATCAAGACAGACATTCACTGCAGGACAGATGGCGGCGTGATTAACGGTCACTGGATAAAGTCAAAGAGTTGAGGACTGAGTCAGTGGGTATTCATTTTTAAAATCACTCTCAGATACTCATGACTCATGTGAAATCATTTTTGTATCTTACACGATAACAACCGACACAGAGCAATTTGTTTAATTGAATTATTTTTGCTTTCTGAGAAAAAAAGAGCATCTATCTAGTTCAGACAAATAAAAGTATTATCTGCAATAAACAAGAAGGTAAAAAAGGAAAGTATTTAATCCTTAACTTGTTTGGATTTTGACCCAGTGGACCTTTGGAGAGTTTGTATGCTCTGCTTCAATTTTATCATTGATAACTTTTAAGACAGCCCGAGGTACTTCCAGAAGAAGCTTTGGTTTTATTAAATATATGTATTTAAATCTTTTGGCAAACTCACAGTGGATTTTAAGCAGACTCTTAATCTGATGCTTCCTAAAAGTCCCGCTCATCAGATCACCAGATATAGAGATTTTCTTCTGATTTACTGTGGGAAATCTAAAACGTTTTGTTATATATTTTGTTCAGTTTATCTTTTAAACTGATTAAACACCTTCTCACATACCCTCTCCAACGGAGGTGAGGTCTACCCATCTTTATGTCTTAAAGCCTCTGTGGGATGCTCCTTTTATCTTTAATTATGTTACTGACCTGCTGCCAATTAACCTCATCAACAGGGAGATGTTCCAGCAGGAGATTTCTTACACGTCACACAGTTTGAACAGTCTTACATTGAACCTCTGCAAGCATCTTGTAAATATGCACTAAATAGACAGAAACATATTTTTTCTTTAAACATCTATGCTGAAACTAGACTCTGGGATTTTCAGAATACATCTGAAGTTGATCTGAGTCAGATCCTTCTTATGACCTTGTTCACAGATTTATGTGAAGGACCAACACAAAGTAGAGCATAATTGTGAAGAGGAAGGAAAATGATTCATGCTTTTATGTTTTCTTTTACCAATGAACCGTGGGATGCATTTGCGACATTATCCCTCCAGGCTTAGGGATTCTATTATCCCTCATCCAACAAGTGCACCTTCTTCCACAAGCTAGCTGTGAGTCCCTACATGTCTCGTGACAAACTGCCAACAGGACTTCTCAAGGCTGCTCAGTTGATCTAGTTCCAGCATCTGATCAGGATGCTCCCTGAGGTCCTCTCTTCTCAGATTTTTGCTGGGAAAACTCCAGAGCAGATCTAGAACATGTTCAAGGGGGAAAAATGTTTATTATACTAGTTAGAAAGGCTGCAGGGATTTTACCTGAGACATGATAGACGTCTGTTATCAAGAAACTTTCTGACACACGTGAATGTAGGCAAATTTCCTAAAATGCGGAGCTGCTCTTCAAATGGCTGGTCATCACAACGCTACCCGACATGCTTCTGAAGTTCACAGATTTATGTGAAGGACCAACACAAAGTAGAGCATAATTGTGAAGAGGAAGGAAAATGATTCATGCTTTTATGTTTTCTTTGGCCTGTAAGGAGCAGCTGGCTCCTCACAGGCCAGCTGCTGGCCTGTGAGGAGCTGATTTTCCACAAAACTTCCACATAAACTTCTAAAACCTGGCAATGACACAGGGAACTGCTAGCCCCCTTGACCCAGATGCACTCTTTGTGCACTTTATGGTTTGAAAATGTCAAAAATTCACTTTGTTTTGCTGAGCAAATAGCTTCAGACACCACTGAGATTACCTGCATTTTATCAATTTCTTTTGACTGATCTGTTTTCCTTTAAGAAATAAAGATCTGACGGCACACAATCACAGATAAACAGAAAATACTAGGCAGTTAGTGACTAAGATTAAAGCCCGGGAGTGGGGAGCTGTCATTTAGAAATCACATTTAATAGATACATTGCAACTGATCTATTCAGTCTGGCAACACAGAGCCCAGCAGGGTATCGCTAATTATGAAGTACAAACACTCCATGGAACAAAGACCTGGCTAAACACATTATTTAAAGCTGAAGAACTGATTATTTCACCTATCAATTGGTTTGCCACTTTTATTTTACTTCAACAGGAACTTAAAGGAAACTGCCAGAATGCAAAATGAAGTCAGATGAGATAAACTAAATGTCCTCTATCAACCTCATAAATTAGAACAATTTAAAAAAAATTCAAGACAAACCACAGTAAAAAGGTAAAAATAACCTTCAGAAATAACACTATTTCTTAAATTATTAGATATTTTTCTCAAGTTGCAATCAGAAACTCCTTTTTCTTAAGTAGTGATTTCATGTGGTGGACCAAAACAAAGTAGTACATAATTTTGGAGAAGGGAAATGACTCATGTTTTCCACAAAGGCAAATTTTGTGGAGTGAAAATAGTCTCAAAATATGTAAGCACCTCTGAATGTAACTTTGGATAGTTGTGTCTGTGAAACCTGATTTGTAAACTGTAAAAAGAAAATAAACCATCCCCTATGCCTACAAATCTTGAAAAAAGCATTTGTAGTTAGTCCAAATAAAATCTATTGAAGTCACTGGCTGCAACGTGACAAAATGTCAAAAAAAGCTCCAGTTAAAAGTGTTAATCCCCCAGAAGATGCAGAGGTGTGTCAAGTCTCATTCCTGCTCTTTAAGAATGTAGAGACCATTTTTCTTCCAAGATGTTACATAAGCAAAGACCATTCCCCGTTTCATCTGGGGACGCCCACGTACAAGCAGCTTAACATCATCTACCGCTGCCCTCTGACCTTCTGCTGACAGCTACACTGAAGTGTAATTTATACCAGAGGAAAAAAAAAAAAAAACCCTGAAAAACAGTGCTGCAGCTGAACATCTGCTTCAGCATAACTGAATTTCAAGACAAACTGGAAATCTGAGCAAAAACACAAAAGCCAGAGTCAGTTGCACACAAGCTTTTCACAAACAAGTCAGCTAAATGCCAGTGGAGCCTATCAGCTGAAGGCAAATATCTCCGCCACAGTGGCGACATTATCGTGTCAGCAAACTGCTAAGAAAGGTGTTTGATGTCAAAAATCACAGATAAAGTTGAAAAAGAGGATTAGAGTATAGAAAAAAAGAACCTGATTTCAAGGGCTAACAAACATCGCACCCTCTGTGAATTTCTTCTTTTCAGGAAGAAGAGAAGACAGTGATGTTTCCTCGCTGCCCTTGGACATGCTGATATTTGTAAAATAGCTCTAAAAGGCCATGTAGCTATTACAGTACATCGACTCCTCTGAGATAAAAACAAATACCTAGAGTGTTTGTTCTCGCAGCTTAAAGGAGGCAGACAAAGCATCTTGCACCTCTTCTATAATATTTGACGTCCTCATTCAATGTGAGAAAGTTTAATAAACATCTTCTATTGGAAGGAAAAGTGATGTTTAACTAAATTATTTTGTCATAGACTTATTTAGCAATCAGATAGTAATTAGTGAAAATAAACATAATGACAGCACCAATACTTTTTGTAAATGGAGAGCCAAAACAAATCCATTACTTTTTCATCAATCTTGAGGGTAATTTAATTTAGCACCGCTCTGAGCCAAGCAAAAAAGAAGTAAGATATGAAGGATTTGTTAAAAGCGAAGGTTGTTCCAGTAAACACAAATGAAAATATTAAATCAGCAAGGTTACAGTTTGTGGTGTGACTTTACATACTGTACAAAAAACATGATAAACACTGAATAGATGTGTTTCCTTTGCGTTTTGAAGTAGAAAACATAACTTAAGGCTCTCCACACCAAAGAAATGCAAATAATATTTGCCATTAATGATGTGAAGAATGCCGAAGGCTTTCCAGATTGTTTTAAGTCAACAATACACAGAGTGGGTTTGGGTGTCCAGATATAGAGCAGCAGTGAAGAGTGAACGGTGAAAATACAGCAAACTCATCACTAATGGGATCAAATATGGCAAGCACTAAGGTCATTAAATCACAATTCCTTGCTGCACTTGGTGGTTTAAAAAAAGCTGTTAAGTACACCCCTGGGCACATCTAAATGATAAATTACACACTGCACTTATTAAGTGCCACCTAGTGTTCCAACAGTGTCATAACAGGTGAGTTTAGCATTTTATAATTTATTTATTTAGATTTTTTTATAGGAACATTTAACAAAATTTATAGGTCCTTTATTGCACTTAATTTGTCATAAAATCCCAAATTAATTAAGGCAAAATACTTTTTTTCTTTAAATAAAAATATCAAAATTTCACATTTAGATTTATTCACACATTATTTTTTTTACATATAAACTGTCAGGGAGGCCATGATTCAAAGTTTTTATATTTTCTAAACCAGGCTCACCAGCGAGGGTGGTTTGTTTTTGTAAGTGGAAGCTTCTGTTCGAAATAGAAGAGGGGGAGGCAGAAGATGATTTTTTTGCAATTCCTTAAAACTATTCAAAATGACCCCACACAATAACTTATCAAGACAACAAGGAAATAAACTATGAAGTTGAATTAATTGTATTGAATTCATTAAAAGTTAAGTCATTCTGTAATGGCAAAATATGTACAGAACATTTCTTGCAGAGAAAGAGGAATTTCTAACTCGTTCAAGTAGAGTGTGACTTAATCGAACAATTTTCTGAACTGCAGTCTTAAACAAGATATATAAAGAAAGCCTGAAAGTACGTCTGACTCTTCAACCTTACATCACACCGCAGCGATGAAAGGAAGGCCAAGTGTTCTGGTAAATCACATTATTGGGCGGGGAGTGGTGGACATGACCTAACAGGAACATAACCCCTTTATTTGAACAGAGACGTTTGCAGCAGAGCCAAAGTGCACAGGCCTTAAGAGTATATAAAAGGTCAGTTTAACAGGGAAAAAGTTCAGCCTTTTAAAACTTATCTGTAAACAGAGCTCTGGTCGGGTTATGTCATTTCTATTACACGTGAGCTGGGACTAACAACACGTAGTCCACGTAGAATCGCTGAAAATCAAATCAAACATCTTCTTGCTGATGAATTTTTGCACCAATTTGAGTGTTTGCTCTACTCATCTTAAGCCAAATCAGCATTAAAGTTGTATTTCTTCTACTATATATTTAAATCTCATGTACATAATTGCATATAACAAAACTAAACAGGAATCCTATGTCTGCTTTTCAGAGTCAGGTTTGGTATTGATTTCATGAGCGAGAGTGCTGTGTTTCCAGCAGCGGTTCAGTTTGACCCACCGGGAATTATTAGCACACAAATCAAAGGGTGACACTTGAAGTGAAGCACATCTGACCCATCTAATCCCACTTCCTGTAGAGTACTGCAACAGGGGATGAACTGTCAGAGACCAGGATTACACAGTCTTAATCTGGAACAATATATTGGCTTAGTCAGCCTTCTCAGACACACTTTATATTTGTGGGGCTGCAGTGGTGTAAACATAAGAGAACAAGAAACCCCTAAGATAAAGTCGGTGTCCTTTTTTAGCTGCTGGAAATATATTGTATTGGATCCCCACTAAAGCAAACTCCCTTCTTTATTTGAAAACGCTCCACAGTACAAGGCAGTTTCTGCATAAATATGCTGGCAAACACAGAGAACGTACCTCCCGTCTTGGCAGAGATATTATTAAAATATAAAATGAATATGTCTCCAAGCACATGAATGCGCAGTCGAAGCAGGTGTACCTTCACTAAGCTACAGATACTGTCCTTCCAGGAAAAAACGATAAATATCAGTCACTGCCACACGGAGGAGAGGAGGTGTGGCACTAATCCTCAACAAATAATAGAGAGCAATCATCCAAGCTCTTCCAAAACTGGCTCAACAGAACAGAGGGAGCATGAAGATGAGAGGCATAAACAGAGCACTAAAGTGTTTTGAATGAGTCAAAATATCAAGGGGATTCGAGCATCCCTGGAAAGTGAGGTAAGGACACAGAAAAGGAAACAAAACAGAGAAAAACAATAAATATTCTATAGTATATTCATATAAGTGTAAAACTAAAGCCTCTAGACCAAGTCTCTAGAGAAGGAAAACTTCTTAAGAAACATTGTTGTATTCAGTAATGAGCAAAGAGTCTTTATCTCTGTCCCCATCTAGTGGATACATTTGTAAACTTCCTGTCATGTATTATGATCAAAAAAGTATTACATGTTACTGTTTAGTGTATTTAAAATCAGTTAGTATTAAATAAAGTGAACCCTTTCTCAAAACGGTAAATGTAGAATGTGTTCAAATATTAAGAAAACATTTAATTTTTCTATATGAGTGAAAGTCAAGTTCCAGAGCTATCCTCTTAACTTGAAATGTGCAGCTCGCAAAAGGGCAACTAAAAGTGAAGAACACTGTGTTTACCTCAGGGATTTTCTGCTAATAAAGACAAGGATTATGGGCTTAGCTATCCATAAGGGGGGAGAAAAGCTCAAGAAAAAAAACACAGCAACTTTACAGTAGGGTAATTATGGAGTAAGACATACCTTTTCCGGAAACAACTTCATTTTCTGTTCGCCAGCGAAATCCAAACTGTTGGACAGAGATAAAAAGTTATCATGTTATTCTTGTAACAATTTTTCATACAGACCAAGAAGCTGTTTTCCATCTCTTCTGGAATTTCTCTAGATCAGACTATCACATCCTGTTTGGTCTACCACAAATGATTAACTACTTTATGTTCACAGATGGACACTAATCAAATAATTTATTGATTTTACAATTCAGGTCTGGGTGTGGTTAATGGAATTAAATGCAGCCCTCTAGAAAACTTGACTAATCGCAGTTACGGTAACTAATTTTACAAGCCAAACAATTTGACATTTTACACATTGGCAGGTTGATTCGGATAGTTTGTTTTTTTCCCTATTTAATAAATAAAAGTTTATTTTTAAAATGTTTTACTCAGGTTATTACTGCTTGAAACAAAGCAAAAATCTGGAAAAAAATATATACAGTTGCAGAGCAACTGTATTTCACTGCAGATCATCTATTATTAACAAAGTGACATGTTAAAAACCTTAACCTTAAAACCTTATACTACACAATAAATAAATAAATACAATACAAGTGCCATAGAATACACAGGTTCAGTGTTGTGAACAAAACTAAACTAAAGTGCATGTATTGACCATGTCCATGGGGGGGTCATTTGGTTTGTGAGTGTGTGGAGGGGTGTTATGTGGCGTTAAGCTCTGCTACACTGGTAGCCAAGTAACGACATTTCGTTGTCAAGATTCACCTTGTGTTTTTTTTTGTACAATGACAATAAAGGAAGTCTAAGTCTAAGTCTAAACAAACTGAACTGTAAGTTTTTTAAATAGACACCACACAGTCCCAAGAAAACCATCATTCTACCAACCTCTTTCAACAGTGGGCCATTTATGATGGAGATTAGTGTCAGTAAGCAAATATTAACCTTCACACTTTATACAGTATCACCACTGGGGCAATTATCTAAGGGAGTCATTCAAGAAACTAGGGCAGAGTCAAACAATTGATTACTCTGCCATGTCTCACAGAAGTCAGACATCTACTGTATGGAGTTTTTTATTCAGAAAATTTGAAAAAGGGATCAACTATCATAGAAATGTATTTAGCTCACCTTGTTCTCCTTGTACCTGCTGAGATCTGCAATGCAGTACTCCTTAAATAGCTTGTCGTAATACTTCTTGGCAATTTCTTTTTCCCTTTAAAAGAAGTCAAAAGTTGACTAAAAGTGATAAACAGGCTGATAAACAGGCTCATCTCATATACATGCAAGTGAAGACATTTGAGACCCTGAATGCATTTTTCAAATGTGAAGTAAGCGTCTGAAGCAATAAAGTTTCAAATATGAGCAGCTGACGTTGATGAATCACCATGTCATGTCATCCTCATCCTCATCCCTCCAGAGGAACCGGTGATTTTCACGCAGCACGTCCAGATCGGTTTTGTCTTTAGCTCTGAAATAAACAACAGGCCAAATGAGGAAGATTTTAAGCGCAGATAACTGGGGAGAAATGATCTCCGTCACCGACTGTAACAAAGTATTTAGCTGGATTGTGACAAAGCATCTCTATATCCAAAGGCGTAATACAGAAAACAAATTCAGCCAAGAGGGTCAGCAGACGACAGATTTTTTGAGGAGAAAGGCAGAATACTCACGCAGAGCGTCTGAAGTCAGCCATCTGTCCACCGTAATACAAAATGTAGTCACCGACAAACTTCTTGTGCCGCTCAAACTGGAAGTGTTTATTTAGGATCAATTGATCAGACATCTCTTGGCAAAAACTGACAATTTTCAAATTTCTTTTCATGGCTTTTAATGCAATAAAATAAATAAAATAAGTCATATTTTACAAGCAAAAGGAGGAAAATATTAGCTCTTTCCTTCCAAATAATATTAAAAGAGAAAAAATATATTTCTATTAAGCCCTGTGTAAGCTCTAATTAAAATTCAGAGCAACCAGTTTTCTTCAGAAGCCACCTAATTAGTAAACGGGTGTGTTTAATGCAATTTCATTATAAATACAGCTAGTCTTTGAAAGCCACAAATGTTTAAGAGAGAACATTAGTGAACAAACATCACAAAGACAAAGGAACACAGCAAATATGTCGTGCAAAAAAACTGGGAAGTTTAAAGCTCTTTTTAAACCCCATCATAAAAAGGCTGTCCTTTTCACAATTTCTCACCATTTTCTGTCCCTTTTTGTCTCTTGAATGCTCTTTCTCTATTTTATCTGTGCCAATATTCTCTGCGTTTCCACTGCCAGGTACTCAGAATGCACTGCAGTGTGACCTTCATGGCCATTCCCTGTTGATGGACTGTGGCAAGGCTTGAAAACTGATGATCACAAAAGCTCTCCATCCAACCTGACTGAGCTTTAGCAATTTTGCTAATAAAAACGAGCAAAACTTTTAAAACTTCGAGGTGTACAAAGCTGATAGTGGCATATATCGAGGCTAAGTACTAAAATCATAATCCATCTTTTCAGACAGTTACTCAAAAGTAAAGTATTGTTTAGGAAAATTATTTTTCATTTAGATAACACCGAATCAATCAAAGAAATGCACATCTGTCTATAGATATAATTTATTTAGAAAATATAAAGACAGATTTTCTAAATAAAAATTGTTCTTGTCTCACATGCTGATCAACATGTGAGATGATAAAAAGAAGAAAGAAGGAAAAAGTAAAACACAATTTCCTTTTTATATCTTTTCTGTCATGAACACGGTGCTTTCCATCCAACTCTCTCCCATATCGGGAGTTTCTTTCAGTTTCTCCCATTTCTCTTTAATTGATACCTTTGTCCCCAAATCAAACCCTGATCAGAGGAGTTTTGGTGGAAAGGAGAAGAAAAACATCTACCACAACGGCTTTCCTCTGATGTTTATCCACTACGACAATGTCTGGTTGGTTCGCCATTACCATTCTGTCTGTCTGGATCTGGAAGTCCCACAGGATCTTAGCTCTGGCATTCTCCACCACCTTTGGGGGTGTTTCCCACTTTGATCTTGGGGTTTCCAGTCCATATTCTGCACAGATGTTTCTGTACACTATGCCTGTCACTTGGTTATGTCGTTCCATGTACGCTTTCCCTGCCAGTATCTTGCACCCTGCTGTGATGTGCTGGACTGTCTCAGGGGCCTCCTTGCACAACCTACACCTTGGGTCTTGTCTGGTGTGGTAGATCTGGGCCTCTATTGTTCTGGTGTTTAGGGCCTGTTCCTGGGCGGCCAGGATGAGGGCCTCTGTGCTGTCCTTGAGTCCAGCTTTTTCCAGCCATTGGTAGGATTTACTGATATCAGCCACTTGGGTTATTTGCTGGTGGTACATCCCATGTAGGGGCTTGTCCTCCCATGATGGTATCTCTGACACCTCAACCTCTGTTCCCTGTTGTCTGAGACATTCACTGAGCACATTGTCTGTTGAGGCTTTGTCCCTGATGTATTTATGGATCTTAGTTGTTTCGTCCTGGACAGTGGTTCTCACACTCACTAGTCCTCTGCCTCCGTCCTTGCGGCTCGTGTACAGTCTCAGGGTGCTGGATTTGGGATGGAACCCTCCATGCATGGTTAGTAGCTTTCTAGTCTTAATATCTGTGGCTTTTATCTCCTCCTTTTGTCAGCTAATTATTCCAGCAGGGTATCTAATTACTGTTTATCGCACGGATTTTGTTCTTGCCATTGAGCTGGCTTCTCAGGACTTGCCTTATTCGTTGGAGGTATTTAGCTGTGGCTCCTTTCCTTGTGGCCTCATCGAGGTTGCCATTTGCTTGTGGTATACCTAGGTACTTGTAACTGTCCTCTATGTCTGCTATTGTTCCTTGTGGGAGTGAGACTCCTTCTGTGCGGATCACCTTCCCCCTCTTTGTGATCAGCCGACCACACTTCTCTAGTCCGAATGACATCCCAATGTCCGTGCTGTAGATCCTGGTGGTGTGGATCAGTGAGTCGATGACTCGCTCACTCTTGGCATACAGCTTGATGTCATCCATGTAGAGAAGGTGACTGATGTTGGCCCCGTTTTTGAGTCGGTATCCGTAACCAGTCTTGTTGATAACTTGGCTGAGGGGGTTCAGGCCTATGCAGAACAGTAGCGGGGACAGAGCATCTCCTTGGTATAGGCCACATTTGATGGACACTTGTGCAAGTGGTTTGGAGTTGGCTTCAAGGGTGGTTTTCCACAGTCTCATCGAGTTCGCAATGAAGGCTCTCAGAGTCCTGTTAATGTTATACATCTCTAAGCATTCAATGATCCAAGTATGCAGCATTGAGTCATAGGCTTTCTTGTAATCAATCCAAGTCTGGTTCTCCAGCACCTGACGCAGACCTTGTTTGGCCGAGCGACGTCTGAGCCGGCATGTTACGCATCTTAGTATCTTTCATGGAATGAAGTAGGCAGTAGCTTGAAGGGCTATCTAATTCTTTTCTAATTCAAAAAAGGATACAGCATTCATTGAAATCAGATGGGCTCTTCTGTTTCTGGCTTCCTCTCTAAAAAACAGAGATTTCAACATTAAAATAAAGTTACTCTGAACAACATTTCTATAGCATGGATTAACTGGAAAGACTGTACTTTCAGAAGAATAAATTATAATAATGATTCCATTACATGAACCATTTTGAACAAATCTGGCTTGAAAGATGTGCGGTCAAGATTATATTTAACATTTTTTGATGGGTGGGGGGGGTTTCAAGTCAATAAGAGGGAAATGGGGACTTCAACAATAAATAAATCTCTAACTGGAACCATAAATTTGAATTTTGCTCATGTTTATTACCTCGTACATCATGAAAAGGCAAAAATCTAAAAAACTCTATACTTGGATTTTCATACAATAAAATGCAGGAACTTGAGAAAAACCTTTTGGAAATAAAAGAAATCAAACACAAATCAGAAGAAGTTTTATTATGCCCGGGCAGCAGTACAGTACCTGTCGACTTCACACAAGTGTAAGCTTCGGTGAGCCACATTGGAGTGCCGACCTTTTTCAAATGGCTTCTGTAAGATTTCCGCCTCACGTTTCCTGTCAAACATAAACACAGAATGTAAGGTGGATAAACAGAAAGATGGTAAATAAAACATGTATCTGTTCAGAACAATAAAGGAATATAACAGACGCATGGTTAACCTCCGAAATTTGAATAGAGAAACCATTTTTATGCTTCACTGAGCACAATGAGTACACAACTCAACTCTTCAGGGTTTCATTTTACCTCTCTCTCGCTTTCTCCGAGGAGTCTCCCTCTCCATCATCATCACTGAAGTCGGAGTCATAGCCACCAGCTCCATGAATCTGTAGATATAACACATAATACACAAAAATACAATTTTAAGAGTTGTGAATATCTCAAATATAATCCTGTTCAGAATTATTTGCATTTTGATCCCATCAGGAGGTGAAGTAGTTGTCTTTCCCTTCCAAACCAGCTGGTTGTGCTGTTGATTGTCTGGTTCAAGATACGGTCATGTTCTCATGAGATTTGTGGTGCATTCAATGATCTGAGCAGCAGCATGAAGAACATTCACAATGATTTACAGAAGGCTTGGAGGCTCTTTTTCTTTCTGGGTATGATTCCTCAAAGAATTTTTGATTCTGCTGTCAATACAAAAAACAATTATTTGCTATAATTGCTCCTTCAACTGTTTTGTCAAAGATTATTCCAGATTTCTGTTCCTTATATTTGGTACTAATATCTTTCTTGGCTTTTGTATTATATGGTTGGTGTATATTACAGACTGAGATCACCACTTCAGGTTTACATTATATGTGTCAAAATGATCTCACATGGTCTAAAGGTTATTACAAAAAAATTGAAAATGTGAAAATCAAATTGTATCATTTGATTTAATTGCTTTCATTTAAGACAACTTAGCAAGATACTTTAAGACAGAAAGAAAATTGCAAAAATAATGGCATACTGATTATCAGAGTTCTAATTATGTTCTGCATAAATGTTATTTATTGTCTTAATTTGACTTCAATTTTAAAAAAAAGAGAGAACCAGTGTTTTATTAAGTTTTATTCCTTGTTGCTGTTCTGCTCTTTACTGAGCCATGTAAATACAGTAAACTGATATTACGTGGTAGACTAGCTGGGCTAGCTGCTCCTGTAGCTAGCCCAGCTACAGTAGCTGGGCTAGCTCCTGTAGCTGGCTCAGCAAGTCTGTTCATGAGCAGCAATGAACAGACTTGCTGCTCATTGTGTGCCCATTATAGTTTTAAAGCAGCATCAATTTAATAGGCTTAATATGGGGTCTCTGCATTGTAGATTTATCTGTTTTCAAAATACTTACTCACCATGTAAAAATGATACACAAAAAGTAAGTACATGGGTGCAAAATAAAGAAGGAAGGGCTAAAACAGCAAAGTGTGGATATGAATTGAAAGGATCAGGATGTGATTATGAATTGATAAAAGGTGCATGTGGTTTACTTTATATATTATTTTATATATTTGTCTAACTTCAAGTAATATGAAACTATTTGTCTAAATTAGCAAAACCAAATGAGGGAGATTTTTTGTTATTTTCCCCACAAAATCTAATTTAATGTGAGCAAAAAAAAAAAACTACGTTGAATAAAGTGATGTTCCACTTAAAGGTGTTTTCAGTAGATCTCTCTCTGACCGGAAGAGAGAGAGATTTTGGCATCACACTGTTGAGAACCTTATGACCACGAAAATAGACACAACAGAAATATTGCTATTCTGTTATGGCGTCACGTTATTCTGGATTTACAAAGACGGTGTCTGAGTGTATTTGTTTGAATTGGATTCAAGCATCTTATGTAAGCAAAATAGCTCCCGAAAGTGTTATTTTGTGACAGTTTGAATCAAATGAACGAGTAAACTCTTACAGAGGTACCTAACACACAGTAAGAAGCTAATGCTCCATGCTAACACACAAACAACACAGGCGCAGAGCAGTAAAACCGTTTAAAAAACAAAGGCTTTCGATTTGTATTTTTATACATTACCTTCACAAGATTCTCCATGAGTTTCTTTGCTCGCTCTCTGATCCCTCTGTTCAAATGTTTACAATGTGAAAAGATCGTCGATGGAGGATGACATTTCAGAGAAGTCGCGCGATTGTGACGTCATATCCATCGTGAACACAAAGAAAAGATAACGAGAAATTAAGATTAGCAACATATTATTTTACTTAGTTTGTTGAAAATAAACAAAAAATAGATATTATTTTATTTATTACAATAAAAAAAACATTTATTTTCTTTTCAATAAATAAATAAATTAAGCTAATTTATTTATTTATGCAGATTATCTTATTATTTGTATAGTTTCCTTCTTAACAAATTTATTAATTTATATATTTTGTATTTATTTATTTTACTAACTAGATGTTTCCTTCTTAACAAATACTATCTAGTTAGTAAAATAAATACATACAATTGTACTAAGTTATATAATGGATTTAAAAACATTTAACTTTATATATATATAGTTGGTTATATAAATACTATCATGCAAAAATTTATGTTAGACATATAAAAGAGATGTCTAGCTCAATACAGTAATACATTTGCCAACATATAAAATGTATCATTGTAAGCTAAAGAATTTAAATACATATCTACTTTTAGCTAACTAAATAGATAAAGGGACTTAATACTAAGTTAAATAAATATATAACTTACAGTAAGATAATAAAAATAAATGAATAAATAAATAAATTAGAATTATTAGATTATCATCTTTTATGTATTTTTCACAAGACTTTCCTGTTTGAATGAAAATTTGAGTCTTTCTTTGCCTTGAGACATTTTGAATGGGCCTGTTTGTTGTTTCTATGCCAAATGTATGATCTGTAATGTAGAATTTGTAATTTTCAAAAATTAAGAGAAATTAAAAGAACCGAGTGAAAAATAAGAGCCACACTGGGGAATGCTGCCAGAGAACATCAATGCAAAATTACTTTCATCTTGGAAATTATGCCTCAGTTGCACTGGAAATTTTGCTGTGTTGAGGTTCATAACGTTCAACTCCAAAGAGGAACAAAGGTCGACCCTTTGTACTGTAGACAGAAAATAAGGAATCTATTATTCATTTTGAATTTATGCGTACAATTCAGAATTAAGATAGATTTGGAGGGGGTGAAAGTTCAGCACAGTCTGGGAACAGACGTCCAGTGTTTCAGCACTTTTCCACTGAAATCAACAAAGGACCTCATGTGGGCTCAAAGGGGCAGACAGGATGACAGAAGCGATAAAACATCGCTTGTTGTCTGCAGGAAACAGAAACAGATTCTTATGCGTTTCCCATGTTTTATGCAACTTATATGCGCTCACTAAAATAAATGAACTAAAAACAGCTTCTTCTTTTTTAACATCCTTCATGTCATTGTTCTGCTGAAGCGATGGGAAAGGGGGCGGCATTTGAATGAGTGTGGGGCAGGTGCATTTGCTCAGAGCCTCATGAATAGCCGCTTCCCATTAGCCACGCACGGCTCTGTGGCGCGCATAAATAATAGCTGGCAGCGGTGATAAAAACGCGCACCTTGGGGCTTCTAACCCCTCCTCCTCTCTCTCTCTCTCTCTCTCGCTTTCTTTCTTCCTTTCTGACTGTCTAATGGGCTTTCCCCTCCGAACATCATTTAAAAGTACTTATTTGAAGGCATCAAGCAGAGAAGAAACGGAGATAGGTATTTTTCTCAGTCGCTTTGTAGAACAAATCAGCTTATCTGGATGAGACATAAGGCTGCATCAAAGCTGCGGATTGTATGACAAAAAATTAAATACTAAGCAGGAACATCGAGACAACCTTCTTGGCCGTTTACAGATTTTTGTGTTTTCGTGTGGAAGTTAAACGCGCAGGAACGGAAGGACTGGTCCAGGACAGGAGCACAGCGATGGGACGCCCGGGCAGAGGATGGAGGGGAGGATGGACGGTCCTGATGTGGGTCGCCTCTGTCTGCTTGGTGATGACTGACGGCCGCAGGTCCAGGCAGCCCAGATGCCCCGTTGGATGCACCTGCACTAAAGACAATGCCCTGTGTGAGAACGTCCGAAGCGTGCCTCACACTTTCCCGTCCGATGTCGTTTCACTGTAAGTCCTGCTCCAACTGAGCCTGGAAGCACTTCATGACTCACAGACTGTGCAAAACTGCATAATATTGATATTGATTTGTGCTAGATAATGATGCGTTTGATATGTAAATAAATGACTTCACTAGCACGACATGACTTCAAAACCAAGTTGAATATATTCTAGTATCAAACTTAGAAAACATATATTTTTTAAATTGTGACGCTGACTAGCTTCTATTATTGATACCAGACCTTAATGCATTTATTTGCATTCTATAGTGGATGTTCAAGTGGATCAAACTACATTGGCATCACAGTATTGGCAGAGGTACAGACAACTGTGGGCTAAACATAGCCTGGCATATAGGATTTATGATATATTCTGTGATGATTGACTGGCCGAGAAAGATGTTCTTTCTCTGGCATAACATATTTGGTCTCTGCTTCTGACTTCCAAATAATTCAGTTTTTAGACTCATCTATTCAACAAACATTTCTTCTCATGTGATTCAACTGGTTCTTCCCCACTTAGCCCTGCCAAATTAATTTGCAATTACAAATATTGTGCAGTTATTTCCAATGTTTTGGAACCAACTCAAGGATTGTACCAACCAGACCCATTTAATGGATTGGCAGCAGACTGTATTCATTGATTGCCTTGTGGATTTACATTAACAACAATATCTCAACAATCATTTTCAATCCTTGATGAGACTGTAATGCAAATATTCCTGCCCATATTCACACCCACATAATGAGGAACAACCAAAGGACACAGTCAACTTGGTTAGAACAGAACCACACATTAACCAGCTAGACTGAGATTTGTTTTTGGAGAAGATACTTTAGTTATGGCTGGTGGGGTGATGAGTTTAACACGAAGTGGCCCCCAAAAGAAATGCTGTTTACACAACTTTGGGCCAGCTGAGTTGTAGTTATCTTGTGGCAGATCTTTAACAGCTCTTAGTTGTTATATATATTTTAATCTAACAAGTACTCATTTTTATTTTTAGGTCTTTTGTAAAATCTGGATTTAATGAAATCGCAGGAGCAAGTTTTGTTCACACACCTAATCTGCAACTTCTGTGAGTATCCATCCATCCATGCAACTTCTGTGAGTATCCATCCATCCATCCATCCATCCATCCATCCATCCATCCATCCATCCATCCATCCATCCATCCATCCATCCATCCATCCATCCATCCATCCATCCATCCATCCATCCATCCATCCATCCATCCATCCATCCATCCATCCATCCATCCATCCATAGCAGCTGTGTTCTTCCCCAAGAGGACTTGTGTAGGGGGCTGACATACATATTTAATGGTGTCATTATTATGCAGTTTACCACATGGTTATAGCATGAAATGGTAGGCAAGCATAGAATGAGTGTGGGGTATTTTTCTTTAACAAGAGTGCAGAATGTTAAGTAACTGCTACATAATATTGCACAAGGCATAATAGCAAACAAAGAGTTTATTAAGCAATCTCTTTTAACAAATTAGTACCGATGTCGGCTTTAATTGTGCTCTAATCACACTTCACGCAGAGGATAATAGTACACTGGCACCAGCCATTGTCTCTGCAATGCATCCTTCTTGGCATCAGTTCCCTCATATTCTCAGATGACACTGAAGTGGTCTGAATGAGCGTGTGGGAAATCAAAAGCAAAAGAGGGTGAATCAAAAATGAGTAACGGGTTATGTCTGCACTGGCTATTATAATAATATTTCTTTATAGTTATGTGGTTTGCTGCCTTGTCTTTTAATGTTCCTATATAGCACATTTTCAGTAACAGGGCAGTACAAAGTGCTTAGAATCAAAAAAGAGTCTTTTTTTGGGATACAATGGATGGATTGAGTTGTGTCATGGCTGCTGTTTTCCTTCCCAGACTCTTCACCGGAAATTCCTTTGACCTGATTGATGAAGATGCTTTTGTGGGTTTGCCACATCTTGAATACCTGTAAGTATTTTTAATTCTTTCTTGTGAGGTTGAAATTTAGTCATCTACTATTAATATACTATTGATAAATGCTGTACTTTTTTTTACATTCCTTAACTTTTAAAACTATTGCTTTGAAGATTTTGTGCATTTTAATGAGATTTTAAGTGATAGGCAAAGTAGTACATAATTGTGAAATGGAGAAAACACGATACATAATGTTTACTCTTTAACTTAAAAACAAATCTGACAAATGTGGTCTTCCTATTGTGTGGCAACACTCTTTCATTTAATTCTGCTACCCACTTTACTCTGACACCAGAAATAAAATCCAGTGCTTTTTTGCTAAGTCATTAAATTAGCAAATAGAGTCCACAAAGGTGGACAATCAACAACTTGATTTCACAGAACAGAAATCAAGCTGTTCTGTGAGGGCTGAAGGGATTATTTAGAGAACATTACTGAACAAAATCATCATGAAGTCCAAGAAACACATCAAACAGCTCATAATTTAAAAAGAGCTTTGGATTATAAAGCAGCATTTAAACCTTTGAAGCTCTCAGAGCTCTGTTTAGTTCATCATCTCCTGCAAGGAGGCGATTAATCCGAGAAGCAGCCGTAAGGCAAATGGCATTTCTTGAGGAGCTACAGAAATCCATTGCTCAGGTGAGGAATCTCTCGACAGAAAATGCAATATCCCATCCAAATCTGGACTTCATGGAAATGTGCCACAAAAAAAAACTGTAGTTGAAATGTTAGCGTAGGTGAAAAAGCAAACGTGTAGAAAAAGGTCTTGATTGGTCTCCTTAAATCCTGTCTGTTTTTCACAGATTCATTGAAAACAACAAAATTGCATCAATTTCTCCATTTGCTTTCCGAGGTCTCAAGGCACTGCTACATTTGTAAGTATTTTATTACTACAGCATCTATATCATGGTGTTTTCATCATGTTTTTTCATGATCCCAAACTTTTCTTTTAAATTCTGTTCATATTGCTATGTTTTCTCCCGTCTCACCAGCTGTTCTGATTAATTTCCTTTTTCCCAGAAATTTGTTGCCTTTAATACCAGTTTCCATGAAATCTCTGTTCAAT